AGTGGAGATAGGTTTAGCTCCAAGTTTACCAGTTTCAGCAAGAAGATCAAGGACATATTTGCGCTGAGATATGAAGATACCATCCTTGGACCGAGCAACTTCAATGCCCAAGAAATACCGAAGATCTCCCAAGTCTTTGATTTCAAATTCATAGTTCAGAAATCCTTTTAGTTTACTAGCCTCTTCAATGTCATTACCCGTGACCACAATATCATCAACATAAACAATCAAGAAGGTCACCAAAGAATTATTTCTCTTCAAGAACAGTGTATGATCAGATTGTGTTTGAATGTAGCCAAAGGAGACAAGAGCAGCCCGAAATCTCTCAAACCAAGCCCGAGGAGATTGTTTGAGACCATAAATAGATTTGTGTAGTTTATACACCTTGCCTTTCATTTCTTTCCCATACACTCCCGAAGGTAGAGACATATAGACCTCTTCATGCAGGTCTCCATTCAAGAAGGCATTTTTAACGTCAAACTGGTGTAGGGGCTAGTCAAAAGTAGCTGCTAGAGAAAGTAAAACCCTAATTGAAGTCATCTTAGCCACAAGAGCAAATGTCTCAAGATAGCCAATGCCATACATTTGGGTGTAACCCTTAGCAACCAACCGAGCCTTAAACCTCTCAACAGAGTCATCAGAGTGATACTTAATGGTAAATACCCATTTACAACCCACTGGTTTCTTCCCTTCTGGCAAGTCCACAATATCCCAGGTATGGTTCTTATGCAATGCATCAAGTTCAGTCATCATAGCATCCCTCCATTCAGCTTGAGATAATGCTTCCGGTACAGACCTGGGTATCACATGGGAAGAAACAAATGCAAGAAAGGAGTAGTAGGAAGGGGAGAGAAGGCTGTAAGATAAATGTTTGGAGATACAGTGGGCTGTACACTTCCGCTTGCCCTTGCGAAGAGCAATAAGAAGGTCAAGGTCTGGGACAGTCAGAGATGAGTCAGTAGAGGGCTGACCTGTTTCCTCAGGAATGATGGGAGTGGCAAGATGCTCTTCTGAAGGAGTAGAAACAACATGCACATGTCTGAATCCCTGCCTTTGGTAACACCTTTGGAGAGCAGGAGCAAATGGAGGAGGAGGAGCAGGGATATCAGAGGTAGGTCCAGTGGAAGAGGTGGACACCCCATGATCGGACTCACAAGGAATGGGAAGAGGAACAGCTGGAGACATAGCAAAGGGCTCCAGATTTCTCCCTCTCAGGAGGAATACTAAAGAAGGGAGTCAACTCGGCAAAGGTGACATCCTGAGATACAAAGTGGGTGCCACGAACTGAATCAAAACAATAATAACCCTTTTGTGTGGAAGCATATCCCAGAAACACACTTATGAGCCTTAGGTTCAAACTTGTGCCTTTGGTGACTATGAATATGCACATAGCAAGTACATCCACACACGGAGAGGAAGAGAAAGGAGATCCTCATCCGGGAAGAGAAGACTAAAAGGAGTTTTAAAGCCAAGGACCCGGGAGGGCATACGGTTGATCAGAAAGGTAGCAGTAAGAACAACATCTCCCCAAAACTTTACAGGAACATGGGATGCAAACAAGAGGGATCTACCATCCTATAACAATATAGTTCTCTTGCATCCATTTTTCAAATTCAAGGTCTGTCTCTTTGGGTTTCACCTTACTGTCTGTGAGATACCCGAGTTTTCCTCTGCTACAAACATAGATTTTTATAGACTGTGCCCAAGCAAGATAGTTCGTCCCATCTAGCTTAATTGTGGTAACACCAGTCAAAACGAAATCTACTGAGGCAGGTCCAGAAACCGGCACTTGCTTGAACTCACTTTCGTATTGTCTCCATTAATCAAACGGAAATCAAAGAACAGAAATTTTGACTATGTAAACTTACTTTAAGTCAAACCAGAACTCGGGTGCTTAAAAAACTAGGGTTTTGCTCCGTCCAGCAGATGGGAGGAAGAGAGAAGATGTTTCCGCACCTACCAGACTAACCCAAACTGTTCCAAACTTGAACCGCCCTCCTTTAGCAGTCACAAGACACCTTCCAAGCACAAAGCACCACACCCGAGCTTCACCATTCCTGGTAATCTCAAAAATCTCTAGTCGGCTAGGGTTTCGGGCAACAGCAGAACAGCAACATTTCTTGGCAAAATCTAGCAAGAACTAAACTCTCCAAACCCTTCWACCAACTAGGCAAGTGATTCTCTATACTATAGAGAATCTATCTCTCCATACACTCTTGATTTTAGAGTGTACAGGAACGAAGAAAAAGAAGAGGAACTAAACCCGCTCTGATACCAAGATGTAAATCAGCCCTTTAATATCAAGATTAAACTTAGTGATTAGCAGAATAAAACAAGTCTGAATAACTGTACAAGAGAAGAAGATGGCGAAGAGAAGAGGTAAGAGAAGGAGTCGAATAATTCTCCATTCTCCTCTAACCCTATTTTATTAAGATCTAAAAATTTGATGATGACAAGAATGCCCTTAAGTGGGCGGCCAGCTTGGCAGTTACATAAAGAAAATAA